TATTCCTTTACACTGAACCATATCAGCAAACATCAACTACCATGCAAACTGGTTTCTTTTCTCTTTGTATAAAGGCCCTACTGAGAACTCAATAATTAGAGATTGATTAGTTTTTGAAACATATCGGTCTTTGCCCTAGTATGTTTTTTAATTCCTCTGATCTACAAAATCAACCTTCCAATTTCCCACCAACTATCTCGACTAGGGTTTAAAAGCCATGATATTTCATTCTTAACAGTCTGTATTATAATTTAAAAATTATCTATATTCATCAGACAATTTCTTCTCTCATTTCTGAATTATCTATCCAAGTTGATCAACGCCTTTCATTAATCCCCAAGGACCATTAATCCATATGACCCTAATACTAAATTATCTGTTTTTTTACGACATAGGGAACCCACATTTTCGTGAAGTTGTTTCCGTTTGTATTAGTATTCTCATAACTGCAACAAAAAAAGAAAGAAAGACAATCCCAGTGCATCATCATGTGAGAGTTTACAGTATATTTTCTAGTTGAAGTTTTGACAAGCATCTCCAAGTGTAGTTTAATTAGCTTGGTGGTGGCCAGCAGTGGAATCTAGGACTAGTTTGATAAATCTAGTGGATTATATCATCACAGTGTCGATGTTTCCCATTACTATATGAACATCAGGGTAACCATGCATTTGTCTGAAAAGTACACTGAAGAACTCTGTATTTACACGTGTTAAAATGTTTCATTGAGGCGAAATAAAAACGAGGAAATCTTGTTTTGATTGTCTAAACACGTTGGGACTATGGGAATTCTTTCTTTTACACTGAGTGAATCAGACTTGATGTTAAAATCCTCCCAGAAAATTAGTAACAACTTTGAAACGAATATTTATAACCTATCTGACCTTTCAACCGTTAAATGATTCAAACCGAAAATAGCCTTCACAACACTGGAAAGACAAAAATTCGAGGAACTATGCATTTTTATCAACATCTCACTAGGCTATGTCCTTAAATACAATATTTTATTGTAGTGGAGAACATACACACCAAATGGTTCCAATAATTTGAATGTTGACAGAATAATCTCAACAGGCAACTCATTTTGTGATTACAATTCCACTGAAATTAATTTCATATAGTTTCGATTTATTATTAGATAACTGACATGGAGAGACATAATGTGTATTTAAATTTAGAGGTATTATTCGTCACAGACTGACATCAGTTGGGGAATCACTGAAAATATGGGAGCACAGCCGTTTCGTGTTATTATGGGACTCTTCAGCAGCACGCACCCACTACCCAGCTAGGGATCGAACTCAGGACCTTCACGGCGAACGCGTTAACCATTCACCTGCTGGGTCGGTTTTCACTGGTTCACATTTAAATTATCAAATACAGGAAACGAGTACAAAGAGGCAATAAAAACATGTCATAATGGCTACTGGGTATTAAATAAGATGTAACAAAGGTTGTAGCTATCGTGGACCAGCATCAGCGAGAGAATCACTGAAAACTTGGAGCACTGGACAGCTTTTTCGTCCTAGTGTATGACTCCTCAGCAGCTCACACCCCCAACTTTTTGAAGGATCATGCTCAAGACTGTTTGGTCTTGCAGTGATCACTTTATAATTGACTTCCTGAGTGAAATCCAGTGGTCCGTATTTCCTACTCCTTTTGATTTGCACAACTGTCATCCAAAGCGCATAGTTGTCTTCCCATATACCTTGGTTAACCACACAGGTCATGGCCTATCATAAGAACTTTGGGAAATCCGTTTCGAAGCAAGTGATTGGTGAGCAGTGGATAGAAATACAATCGGTGGATTTGAGGTCTTACTGAAATTCAAAATTTGAAACTCAAGTTTCTTCAAAGGTAGTATTAGTTCTACAACAATGTTAAGTGAGAAAAATGTACAAATCAGTTGTAGGATTGTACAACCAAATTATGTGATTTCTAGCTTAGTTAGGTCCACATCAAAATAAGAGAATATATCATGCATTTTGTTCATAAAACTTAAGTCTAATGAACTTAATGATGATTCCGACAGTTTACAGAAGACGAATTATTAACGTCTCTAGTAAGTGGTTTGGCACTTTTGAATGCTAGAAAACCATAATATGACTACACTACTTCTCTGAATGCAATCTCTGATCTTCTGTCATACCAGAAGAGCTTTTTGGCGTCTTTTGGCTTGGTTCTTGTAGTATGTCTCATACAACTACTTCCATAACACTAGCTTTATTAAACAATGAAGACTGGAAAATCGTACGATGTATGGGTATTTTGCTGGGAGTAATAGTCAGTAGACAATTCATAAGCAGGATGGGAATGACAACTGGAGTTAAATTAGAAAGTACTTGTAACAAATTCACTGACTGGTAGCTGGAGACTAACCGATTTCATGCTGTCTGGTCCTCAGTGCTGACCAAATTCTGTTCTAGTCCAACAGGGTGTCAATTGCAGCATGAACAGCTCAGTTGTAATGCCTCCAACTGTAGCACTCAATGATATTAGTTCAGGCCTCTGAAAGGATATGAGTTCTCTGCGGCTTTCTGATACTTCCTTGAGGATAAGTACCAACAACCACGAAACCTCAGTCAGCCAAGTCATCTTGTCGATTATCTTCAACTATCCAGTATCAGTTTTCTTCAAATCTCTGTTTCTCATGAACCCAGCCAAAACTTTAATTCTGGTATAGTTTTAATTAATATATTATTATTTATCAAAACTAAGAATTCCTAAATGTTAGACTACAGAAAAATTACACTTGACTTCCAGGTTGGTTTATCCAGTCTTCAATCTCACCAGTAAACCACCTCCTTATTTTAAAAGAATTCTTGAAACTTATCAGTATGACACACGAAAAGAGGCTGTACGAAAAGACTTCTTAATTCCCCACCGTTTAACTCTTAACATCTTACATCGATGAATTCACTCTGAAATAACCAAAAGAAGTACGGAGTAACTAAGGATGATTTTTGGGTCTCTGACTGGCTACTACAGACTAAAAACTAATGACCGGTCATTGGGTTTCATTTTTGTGTTGTAGCCAAACACCTGGACACATAGATAGATATTCTATAGTGTAGAAGTTTGTAGCTCGAGAAGAGGTGTTCTCCAAACTTTGAGGTCTATTCAAAGTATGAAGAACACCATACAATTATCACAGATAGATATATTGCTGATGATCTACGTAGTATTCCCAGCATTATTGATCCTAGATGATGCTAGCTGGAACCCTAAACAAATATAATAACTTCATCAGTACCAAAAACAACTGATGAAGGGAGATTTATAGCTTCAATTACGCACTAATGGGTAAATGTGTGAGGATGATCAAGCCTGTTTTTACTCATGAATATTTTGACATCATATTTTAATTATCTTGAAAGTTGAACATCAGCGCCGCGCATTTTATACATTATTATTGTTATATTATTACTGTTATTATTACCAACATTATTATTTATCACTATCAGCTCCCTAAATTAGTTGTCTTAAAACTGGACTAATATATGCGACCGTGTATGATTCTATTCAACTGCACTATGAAACAACATCATACAAATTAGAAAATGTATTTCATACCACTCTTACTAATGGACATTATCACAGTTCTAAAGCATGACAACAATACAGAAAAGCCAGTTTTTGATAAATTTACATCAGCAGCTCATGAGTGTGAATCAACAGAGATGTCTCCATAAAGAATATACAAAATGATTACCTAAATGTTATACTGGTCCTGGTGACCTGCAGAAGAGTCCAGAAAGTGCTTTTCGTCCTACTTTGGAATCGTCAGCTGGACATACATGCCCACCCCAGTGAGTGTTGTTCCTACTGGGGCTCGAACCCAGGACCCATCGCTTCAAACACCACACTATTATTCACTAAGCTAAATGTCCACGGATCTTGATATATATATATATATATATATATATATATATATATATATTAGTTGGAGAGAGATAATCAGTAGAAAGCCTTGGATCTAGGTCTCGCGCTTTTTGGCACTCGTCAGTAGTCCGTGTCTGCAACCTTTAAGGAACTCATGTCTCGCCTGATATTATATATATATACATACCTAACGTTTAAAACAACTGCGCTGACCAGGCTTTGAGCTTTGTGACCACACTGCATAATAAATACTAGAATTTGATCAGAACTTATGGCTAGCCGAAATAGAACTGTTTCGCTATGAAGTATATATATACGTGTACCCTGTAAATAAATGTGTTCACGTACTGACTACACCTGAACACTTTCATGATATTTTCATGCTTTTCTGTCCAACTGACAGTTCATCTGAATGTTGTACAGATATGTTCAGACTTGAATGGGTACGTCATTGTCTGTGTAATAATTCATCACTTACCTGTTCTGTCAATATATAATCCATCCATATGACAAAAAGTAGAGATATAATCTGTGTGATTGTCCGTGTAAGTAAACTAGACAAAGGTGAATATGTCCAATTACTGGTTTAAACAAATTCAGTAACTTGATTGGGTGTTATTTATCTTTAGTTGAGATATTATTGTTTATAATTGCTTGACTACAACAATTCATTTTGGTCTCCAGAATCTCACTTTAGAAAAACCAGGTTTCCTTGGTTATTATACCTACTTTAACAAAACCAGTTGACAATATATGTGTACATGCATACATGGGCCAGTAGTTATGTGCCACTATGAAAAGTAAGGTCTATGAAGAGGATACTTACTTTTGGAAAGGCAAAACAGGTTGAAAATGTTCCGTGTCCACTTTGATTTCTGGCTGTTTGACAATCAGTAACATTTCTGATGTGGAAACCATTTTTGGTATCATTAGTTCCCACCAACTGCACCACTGTAATCATCCAAAAGGATTAATAAACAAGCAACGTTTTGATTAGTTAGGAGCTTGTTACATCTGATTTACTCATATATATTAATGAATCCTCCCTTAGATTTAAGAAATCACCTATCTCCCGAAGCCTTTTGTGAATTTAGATATGCATATATTGTTTTCGTTTGCAGAAACGTGATCTACTCAGGACATTTTGCATAGATCCTAGTGTCTTTGTACGCTATCTGTTAAAAGTTGAATCGACGTATCATGCTGACGTCCCATATCATAATTCGATGCATGCAGCTGATGTTTTACAGACATCTCATTACTTACTACAAGCAGAAACACTGGATGTAAGTTTCCCGATTTCAGTTTCATCAAGTATGTGTTTTAATTTATGAGGTTTTGACATATCTGCATAAATCAAGTAGCACCGAAATATTCAGAGTTGAAGCAACTAACTCTATTCAAACTGGGAGTCAGAGTGAATGTAAGACTGTGGAGTATGCACGATATAAATAATAGTGGTTAGTGTTGATATAAATGACTAGCCAATATACTTTTTAAATTCACCAAAAACCAAATGTCTCAGCCTACACTTCAACTTCGTAGCAATGGGTACACATTCAGCTTGTCGAAAGCCGAAAAAAGACTCTCACATAACTACACTAGAGTTTGAACCATTACGTATGTTCATAGTGAACGAAGTCTTTACTGAAGTCAACTATATGCTCAAACTCCACAATAAGACTCCTATGAACAGTGTTTGCACTTGACTACTGGTTGATTTACTTAGTTTAAGGAATTATCCAGGTCAGTGGTCAGTCAGCAGACATATAAAATGATCCGTTCTGTTCATTGATCAGAATGGAAGCTAAAGCATAAGTGGTCGACAAAATTGCCTTTATCCGGTGACAGTGGTAACTTATCTACTAACTAATGAGTATCGAAGACAAGCAGTCAGTTTCGAATTTGTTAGAAATGAAAGTGAGGCAAGTTACAGAAATTACAGTTTTGATTCTGTAAAACTTAAACCTTAAATGTGCAACACTTAAAGAATAAAGTTTCTGTTTAGAGAAGACCTAACCTAACAGAAAAACCATTAGGGATAAAGGTATTCTTTAAACATCTGACTGCAACTCATCACATTCACTGCCTCTGAATCTCTGTGTTGTGACGTGTATGAAAGCACGAAACGGGAAGTTAAATTATTTCATTTATCTACGGAAAGACAAACGCTGAAATTTTGTAATCATATCTAAAAAGCTTACTACATTTTCCATTCCCTGCCATGAAAACGACAGGGAAATCACTTTGAGATGAAAATTCGTTTCTTCTTAGCACATTTTTAAATATGCCAAATTCCCGATGGTAGTTGACTCAACAAACTGAAACCAGTTTGAAAGCAGCTTGAGATATCTAAGCAATATATAAACAATATTACTCACACAACGTTGAACCTAGGACACCTGGTTCGTTCACCGGGTACATTACTGTTCAACTACTGAACTAAAATGTAAAATGTGATGCTCACCAATGACACACCTGGTGTCGAACGTGATCAGCAAATTGTTACATGCTGACCAGGTGGATAAACACTCAACTATTGCATACAACTTTCCCTATCTTAAAAAGTAAGTAATCAAGAGCAAAATATTACTTAGTGACAAAACTTCGAGGTTTTAATGGGAAGTTATGGATTTGGTCACATTGGTGATATTATACATGTCTAAGAAGATTTTATATAGAACAGATACCTTCCCACCACTGTTTACTGCTTGACTTATGTTCAACTGTTTCCATTGTTAACAGTATTCACAAGCACAGAAGTGTAACAGTTTGTATTTTGATTAGGCCTATGACTCGACTTTCTCTTTTTACTGTTATCAGTTTTAATATTTACGCTTGCAGGACGTGTTCAGTGATCTGGAAATCTTGGCTGTTCTTTTCGCCTCAGCCATACATGATGTGGACCATCCTGGATTGACAAATCAATTTCTAGTTAACACTGGTAAGCTGACATGTTGAAACCTATCCACAGAATTTTCTACCTTTTTCCATGCTTTTTTGAACATTCATTAGTAAGGTGTAAAAACTATTTTCAGTTATTTAGTACTTTTTCTACAAACTGATTGGTTTCTTTTCAATTGACGTCGTGTATAAATAACCTGACAACCAAAATTTAAACTACTCTGATCAATTTCCAAAATCTCAGATGTATTAAATGAGTCATCCAGTTGTCTATTGGATCGTAGCAGACATATTTATGGACAACTAGGAACAAATGGCATGAAGAAACTCCACACCACCCCGAAAGTATTGTGGCGATATGTAGATGACATATTTACCATACCAAAATCAGAACACATCCAGGGTTTCTTCACACACATTAACTCGATAGTAGATGCAATCTAATTAGAAAACGGAGTACGAGAATTACTTATGTTGAATTGCGAAATCAAGAGGAGAGAAGACGGAAGCTTGCAAATTAGCGCACTAAGGAAACCGACACATCCGAATAGATACTTGGATTTCACATCACCTCACCCTATATTCGTCAAAGTAGGCTTGATAAAATATCTAAGTGATCCGCCTAGGAACTAAAACACATCAAAGGGACACTACATCTTAATAACTACCCTCCGGAATTTAATAAAAGTTTATAAGGTCTAATAAGAGGAGGGAGGGTAATGTTAGTGTTGTTTGAGACATACCTAAGAGGGAATTCAAATTCTCTCTAGGCCTGCCTTCCTCAGAAGGCATATCGGGAACTTTGCGTAGAATTTTTAACAGTCCTTGGATTAATATGGCATTTAAACCCATAAACTCCCTCATGGGGAAACCTTGTAGGCTAAACGATCCAGCAGAGCCAATTACGAAAAATAATTTAATAAATATCATGTAATGATTGTCGGGTCACGTATATCGGTTAAAAGAGTAGATCTGAGTCAGTCAGAAAAGCAGAACACAAAAATTTAGTGAGACATACAATTGCAGACCCTACTAAGATAAGTAAATTAGATAAATACTCGGTTATCGCTCTGCAAGCACTGGCCCACGATTACACTATAGGGTGGGGTACGGTGACAATTCTTAAATCCAATATACTTAGGTGAAGAGAGAGATTGATCACAGAATCCTTTTTCATTGAATCAACACCTAATACATGTAACAGAAATGGCTCATCACATATCGTAGATTTCTAGAAAATTTTACTGTCATTAAAATAAAAGAATGAAGAACCATTAGACCATATCAAGGAAGTTTGAAATTCTTATGTTTACTTTGATAGGCATATGAACAATAAATTCTGTCCGGAATGTCATTCAGTAAATTATATTGTCATAGTGTGCTATATCAAATAAACGGTCTTATATGACATCATACTCTACCACAGTGTCGAATTTTTGCTCTTACATTAATTAGTCTTCCAGTGTTGGTCTAACTGGTAAGCCTGTAATTTATTAGCGACAGTTTGGAACTATAAATAAAATAATAATTGAAGCTAGTATGGAAAGTTGAGTACTGTACGTTTTGAGACGACAGCGCTTAAATCATTATTCCTTTGCGTCTTTCTCCAGAATTTAGTATTTCCTTTGTTACTGGATGAATGAAAAAGATTTTATTGTGATTCTGAATGCTAGAAACCATATGCTCAGAAGTACATTAGAAAACAAGTATCGACATCTTTTGTTCATAAAACAGTTTACATATGCAACGTTAGATAACTGAAGTGACCCAAAATTTGCCAGATTCTGTGATTCTATGGCTACAGTATTATTTTTTCCCCTTAGGTTCCTAGTGAAACATAGGAATTCAGTAGCACGCCTCCATTCCACTCTCTTCTCTCTAGTCTTTTCAACCTCACTCCACGACTGCCCACAACCTTTCATTTCTTCTTCATACCATCTCATTCATGTCTTCCTTGCCTCGGACGCCCAACTGGTCGTTTCCACTTCGGAGCCCTACTCGAGGGCCTGGCCTGGCGCGTGATGTCCTCAATCGGCCTTCTTAGTGTTTGCCCAATCCATCTACACTTTCTTCTGCATATTTGTTGCGTGATAGGTTCTTCGTTGGTTCCTTGCCAGCCAGCCAGAATTCCTTGTTGCTTATTCTTAGTATTCCGTCCCATACATCTGATCTTTAGTATCGAGTGGGCGTAGACAGCAATTGTTGATGCCGTATATCTGTAGTTTGTTGCAAATGCTTTCGTGACACCCCAAGTCTCCCAACCATATAGAAGCAATAACTTGACTGACATTGGTGTTGAAACTCCGGATCTTGTTCCACATGCTGAGTGCAGTCCAGTGTAATAGGTCTCCACATTGATTTCAGATTAATGAAAGCCTGTCTTGCTGTCTTTCCGATACTGGCTGGTTTTGACATTCTCGTCTGTGCCTGTGCCACCTGTAGTAGTCGAAACGATGCTGCCTGCTTGCCTGCCCAGGTAGGTGGGTAGGTGAAAGAGACTACTTCCTCTAGCTTTCTCCCATTCATGGTGATTGATGCCTCTCATTGCTGATGCTGTTGTTGGTTGGGTATCTTCATCACCTATGTCTTCGCTACGTTCACCTGAAGGAAGTCCCGTCTTCGTTGGCCTACCTCTTCTGTCAACTCATTAGTTTTCCCCTGTACATCTTCGAGTTTGTTTGACAAGTCATTAGACATAAATCATCATCGTTGACGAAATCCAAATCTTTTTCTGGAGTCTTTTCATTGGTCCAGACACCGTATGCCCATCTTCTCACTCCTTACAGTTGTCTGCTGCATGATCCAGTCCAGTCCAGTCAAGTCAAGTCAAGTCGACCACAATCAGGAAGATCATCAGTGATTATAGTGGATGGCAGCCTTGTCTTACTCCTGTCACCTGTCTTCACTTCAAAGGCATCACTGAGCAATCCATTATGAATCACTCGGCATGTCTCATCATACAGTATATAGCTGCTGTTGAATGAGATTGATAAAGGTTTGTTGTATTCAAACCGTGGAGTGTTGAAGCAACTGCCTGATAAGTTACTTCTCGTTCGACGCTGTCGAAGCAAGGCCTTTCCAAAGTCGATGAAGTTGAAGTAGATTTGAGTTGACTACCATCCTATACTCTGTTCTATGATGATGCGTAGCACAGGGTAGCGTTGCAACTTGATCCGTACATGATTTGTTCTATCTGAAGCCAGCCAGCCAGTCTGTTCCAGTCGTAATTTTGAATCCAGAGCACTCTTTAGTCTCTCCAGGATGATGCTGCCTGAAATTTTGCTTGGGGTGGACAGCGGTGGAGCATAATTGAGCGTCAGTTTTTGCAAAGGCTCACGTCTCCCTTCTTTGTGAGTTTGACAAGGTAACCCTTCTTCCAACCAGCAGGTAGCTTTTCTTCCTTCCTTCCTAAAAGACCTTCTGTAGTAGTGGTGTGAGCATGTCCTATGCTGTCTCTGTGTCTGTTTTCAGTGCTTCTGGTGGAATTCCATCTGTTCCTGCTGCTTTCCTGGATTTCAGCAGTTTTATGGCATTCAGGACTTCGACTTTCGTCGAAGGGCTTGTGTTCACTTGTAGTTCTGCCGTTGCTGGTGGTATTTCTGGACGAGTTGCAGGTGGTGGTCGATTCAAGAGTTTTTTGATGTGACCAGCCCATTGTTTTCTTGATTTCTCCTCTTTGGTAATTAAGTTTCCTCTATTGTCTTTCATTGGTTTCATCTGAGTTGATCTTTCCCCTCCCAGATAGTAACCTGGTTATTTGATATAATGTTGTCAGATCTCCTTCTGTCCTACCAGCAGCCTGCCCTACTTCACTTACCAATGTGTTGTAGAAGTGTCTTCTTCACCTCTTTGTCTAGTGTTGTATACCTTGTACTCAGTTCTTCTTTTCGTTGTTCATCCTTGCATTGCACTGGTTCATCTTCTGATTCACCATCTTCCTCTCCCTGCTCTATAAGCTTCCACATGTCCGTGGATATCCATTCCTTGTCTTCTTTCCTCTTCCTTCCTAAAACGGTTACGCAGGTTTCGTTCCATATCCCTTTCAAAGAGTCCCAGTGTTCTTCCACTCCCGATCCTTCAGAGATGTTGCCCAGTGTCTCCTATTTTGTTCTGATGTCTGACGTGAAAATGTCCTTTGTTGTTTCATCCTTCAGTTCAGTTTCTTTCCTGGGTGTTGAAATTCAACTGTGATCTATCACCAACTTCTTTGAAGGCTTTCAACTTGATTTGGAAGGTAGGTTTCTTGCACTAGACAGTTAGTGGTGTGAACCTACATCTGCTCCTCTTCTTGATATGATCTTCTGTCCAGTAGGCTGAATCTCCACTTTCTTCACATTGAGATGAAGTTGATCTGATTTTTAGTGTAGTGTGTCCATCTAGTGAAGTTCATGTCGCTTTGTGAATATCCTTGTGTTTATACACACTGCCTTCAATCACCAAATAGTTGAATGCGCGGAAATATGCAAAAAGTTCTCCGCTCTCATTTATTTCACTGATTGTGAACACTAGTTAATGCACGGCGTACGTTATTTTATTGATACTTATAATTTCCCGTTGTTATATCAGGTCGAATCACTCTACCCCTGTGAGTATCTCTGAGTAGTATCAATAAAACAACAGCTATTACTGGTTCCACAAGTGATGGCTGTCGTGCCCCAGTGACCCAGCGGACAATGCTTTTGAGTTTGAAGCGATCTGTACTGGGTTTAAGTCTCATTGAGAACAGTACCACTCACTAGGAGGCAGGTAAATCCAGCTAACGAGTCCCAACTAGGACGAAACACGAGTCCTGGATTTCATTCCTAGCCATCAAATAGACTACAACATGGTGCATGTTATTTAGTGTGCTGTTCTAGGTGCTATCTCACTTCAAGTCGTGTACATATATGCGCACATATACATATGCAATTTAAGTAGACCCAACCTAACTTTCATTTAGTTTCCATCTATTTCACTTTAAGCTTGGTAATCAGACGGTAGACGAATGGATAGAAGCATTTTAATTCTTTTCGATCTCTGTGTACTATGCCAAGTTATCTGTCTCCCTACATATCCATCATTTTCATTCATTAGACGATCCATCTAACTAGTCACTTAACTGCATACACACATGTCTCGTCAACACAGAACGAGAGACACACTTTTATTCGAAGTAATGATGGTAATAAATATAATTTAATCGAGAATGTATGTCGATAAATGTTTGTCCAAAACTGTATTACCCTATTACAGTTATCTGTACATGTATAAGTGGCAGTGCATACTACACAATATCCATGTAGCTTGCCTACATAGTTCGCGTGTGTGTATATAGGGCAAGCTAGATTCAGAATACACAACCATAGGTAATTACCCGCTTGTCTATCATACACTAAAAAATGTTAATGAACTGAATTATCTATTCGATTTAGCTTTGTTTTCATCTGTCGGATAAACTTGGCCTTAGTTTCGTGGTTTTTGTGGTTATCGAAATGAATTCTGTCTCCTTTTGGATGTCACTGATAGTATACGTCTGAAATATGCGTCATAATGATATCATGTTACTTAAATCTATATTTTCAGTAATTTGTGTGTCCACCTAAATAAACTTACTAATCATAAGGGTAGGAAATAAAAGCAGACACTAATAGACTCTTATTGATGTCCGGAAAGTCTCAGTGAACGTATAACGAATCATTTACAGCCAATTCAGAAACCATGTTAAATTCGCTAATGGGTTAATCTATTTCAAAATAAGTGTATGAACCTCAGAACAATCCCCTTCAGATCTTCCAGTGATCATGCTTAATTCCCCAAAAATCAGCAGAAGCTACAGCATAAAAGGTTAAAATAACTACAAAAAACTGGCCTGAGATTTATGTACAAGTGGGTTTGGTTCTTCAGTGATGCATAATAAGGGGTAGCTACGTCTAGATGACATATTTTGGTACACTGTAATTCATAACTGATAAATTGATTTAGTACCTCCCAACCTTCTTAAGAATATGATTCCCAATGAAGGCAATAAAATATAAAAAAAGTCCCTCGGGAAGGAAATGGAAGCAATTTAAAATTACTTTTTGTCGATCATATTTTACAAGTAATTAATTTGTCACTTATCGTACCTACAGTTCATCTTAGGGCGGATCCTGTTTAAAGATTTTTGGTCATAATGAGTTAACTGGAACAACTTATAACTGTCAAGCCTAAAAGAAAGAAAATTTTCATTACCTGTCAAGTATTTTTGTCTTTGAGAATAAATATCCATTGATTATTGACTCAGCAAACTGTCTCATTCTTAAAAATCATGCTAGCCTAAAAGTTATTTCTTTATGATAAAGATATCTCCACGAAACAATCAATTCCAAAGGACAAAATGTTGCTAAAACAGTCGATCAGCGTAATCTATAATAGAAATAACGCTCCATAGTAAATACTGTTGTTATACAATCGCAATGCGTATCACAAAAAAAAACAAAATTTTATGATGTAGTGGATTTATCTAGGTCCACATGCTTCAAGCATTCCGCCACAAGAAGTTATTTAGAAAGCGAAACTCACGAGGTTTTGTAGTAGTGATGGCTCTTATTACAACGGTAGTTCAGGGAACAAAGTTGTTATAAGTGAAAGAATGGTTACTAAGACAAAGCTCCATTAGTAAAATTATCACCCATATAAACTAAGGCACCTCTCGCTGAAGAGTTATGAATGAGACGAAGCCAGTGTTCCACATTCCACTTCTTACCAGGTTCAGACAATAAAACAATAAAGCTATTTTTCGGGTTGGAATTTATCATGGACTGACATCAATTGGAGAAACACTGGGAACCTGGAAGCACTGAAAAACTGTTTTGTTCTAGTATGAGACTCCCCAACAGTAGGCACCCACCACCACACCAGAGATCAAACCCAGAACCTTCAGGTTCCACTCTCGACAGGTAACTGTTGAGCCGTTGTGTCAGAATCAAATGGTCAATATTTTCTACTCCTATCAGTTCACGAAATAGCGTGACCTGCATCCAGTGATTTCGTTGAGTAACTGTCTTCATATTCGACTTTTTCCCACAATTAGTTTGAACCATCGTCAACTGCGAAATGTTAGGATGTCAGTAGTAATAACGATAAACATAAAAAAAGCTTTGCTACAATCACTCGCAAATAAGGTTGTTCACGAAGACCTTTTTACTGCATAAAAGTTTTCAATTTGTATATTGTAAGTCACAGATTGAGCTTTCTTTAATTTTATTCGGTCTACTGAATGTTTCAGTAAGTTTCTTCAACCAACAGCTTGAAGTTATCCTACACTAAGCTCACATTTAATAGTGTTTTTGGCTTATTAATAGACCTTAAAAAACAGTCATTATAAAGAGTGGAAATTAGCTAAATTTTCTCATAAGGTTATTAAACACTAAACAGCATCACTACATCACGGTTAAAGTCTCCTAATATTTGCACAAATTCTTAATTTCATACAATAGCGCTGCAATTAATTTATTGGGTGTGAAATATTTAACTTAATTTACCCTGACATATCTCTAATCCTTAGTTGTGTGCGCATTTCTTCTATCTCCTGGATCAGGATGAAACAGATGTTTCCTGTTTCTCGATTTTCATTGATCCCTGAACTTGCATTACCTGTGAAATTCTATCTTCGAGATATATCAGTTAGTATCATATAGTGCATAAATTTAAAAATGTCAAACAATCAGAATTATGTTGATAACTAATTACACTATTTGAATTGATTAAATCTGATATATCTTTTCCTATTTTACTTCAGGACATGAATTAGCCTTACAGTATAATGATTCTTCTGTATTGGAAAATCATCATCTTTATATGGCCTTTAAAATTCTAAGTGAACCAGATTGTGATATATTTGCCAATTTAGGCGCAAAGAAACGTCAAACACTACGTCGAATGGTTATAGAATTGGTGAGTCTTGTTATTTTTCTCTTTTTTTCATCACAATATAAGAATTAAAAGCGATCATCTGAAATAAAAGAACTTGACAAAAATCAAAAAGCTTACAGTGCCCGAAAAAAGCTATCTCTATGAGTCTTTTAGGATTTCTGGCTCATGGAGCAGGCCTATTAGACAAATGTCTTTTCGGGAAGGTGAGCTGTATTTTATTCTACAAAGCTGCAGAAACTCAGTGTGACGTTTCTTATGCGTATCTGACCCCGGGGAAGTGAGTACGGTAAATGATCCAATTACCTGGCGAATGTGGACGAGTTCGAATGAATATTCTTTATTTTAGCGCGTTTTTTACTCACATAATTTAAAACAGAGTCGAAATGATTCTGTTATCCATCTCGTAAAAGCTACTGACTTTGAAAAATGCTCATCAATACACGATAAGAATGTTTTTTGATAATCGACAGATAGATTAAATTTAGCTGTGCTGTTAAACATCGTATTTTTTAGCCAATATATAGCACTTCTCTATAGTAGACCTATTTGTTTACAAACACATGTGATGATCAAAATAATGACGGTCAGCTTTCACTGCAACTGTCAACCATGAGTTCATAATGTACAGTATATGAATGGCCACATTCACCCTGCGAGACGAACGACCAAGATTTCCATGATCATAAGCTACTACAGAAGTACGAAAATCATTTTAGTAGTCAGAGGAGTAAGTGTAAACAAATTATTTCTCAGCTAAATTATAATTTCATCCCTTAACCCAGTTCAGGAGCTTGCAGAAAGAGGGATAATTTGAAGATAACCGTTACATGGAGACAAAAACAAGTCACTCTGCTTCAAGACTTCTGTACAATATTCACTCCCAGTATGCTGATCATATTCTAGACTGATCCATAGAAATTGGCTGGCACTTATGACAAGACAACATGAATTTATTACGCCCCAACAACCGACCTATATATCTAAGCCAGTCCTATGTGAGATCGGCTGTAGTTCGAACATCTCGATGATGACGTCACTGACTACAGCACCGGGCGATGCAGATTTAAGTCTTTGAGGAGGACATCAGTCTCTTTGAAGTTGTGGGCACGCCTTGCTGATGAGTACTAACAGTCAGGAAATCTCGGTCAATCAGAGTTTCCTGCCGACTGCCTTCGATCACCTAACTTCAAGTTTCCAACTACATCTCTCCGGAGATAGACCACAAAAGCTTCATTTCTCTTAGGACACACATTAACTTATACTCACTGAGTATTGAACCAACTGTATATATTTTCTAACTTTAGTCAACTTTCCTCATAATACGATACAGATCAACGGCATTTTACTGCTTACTGACGAATTGTTTTGTGGTATATGTTACGAAATTAAATTCCACCATATTAGACAGCGGTTTAATCCTAAATGAAGACATTTGTCTGTTGAATAGATTCAGTAATAGTCATAAAGTTGCCCAGTTTGAAATGATGAATTTCAAACTTTTACTGGATAGTAACTTACTTGTCACAAAACCTGCATTTTACGGGTTTTATCCAAAACTGGATTAACTATGCAAACGATTTGATGAAAAACCAACACAAATGAATCAGTTTACTGAATACGTAACCAGTAGAGTAGCTTCACCAATCACTGTTCATTGATTTTTACATTGTCTTTTTGTTCATTCCATTTATTTAGGTATTGGCAACAGATATGTCTAAGCACATGAGTTTGTTGGCTGACTTACGGACAATGGTTGAAACCAAGAAAGTTTCTGGCTCTGGCTTATTAAATCTGGATAACTATGCCGATCGTATACAGGTAATACCTTGTTGTGTGAAAAGTTGTAAGCATCTAAACTGGATGAGTAAATCTGTCATGTCCATTTTATTCAGAGATAAACTTCGTTCTCCGTTCAAACGTGACTTATCAGTATTACCGCACAAACGAACCAAATACCTATAATTAAATCCACAAATAAAACATTTATGACATAAAACTGAAGAATTAGTTTACTGAGGGGATTTCTGCACTGAGAATCACTGTTCAATCAGAATTAAATTACTACTTCTAACTTTCTCAGTTTACTGCAGAAGAGGTTATCAAATTTGTCTGAAAAATACCTAAGAAAGTACTGGATTCATCTTCAAGCATCCAGAATATCACATATTCTCCGCACACGGAACTAGTGTTCAATACCTAAGCATGTCGATAAATTGATGTTATGGGGATGGACTGCCCACCTAGAAATGATCTTTTAACCCATGACTGACCTAAATGTCCGGAAGCCAATTACACTGATCAACCCTACATTTTAGCTAGACCAAATTTATCGGAATAATTAATTGTCATTAGGCTTGTTTAAGATGAAGTTTATCACTAATGCATATGGATGTCGACTATGCACTGTAGCTTTCAGTAGCGGAAGACCCAAATATCTCGCGATAATAAGTTTCAAAGTGTATGTATACTGTCACTATACAGCAGGAGTACTGATAAACTACTTTCCAAGGTATTTGTAGCTATTAAATTTCAAAAGAGTTACTGTTAGTTTTAGAAAAGGTTACATAGTCAACAATTGCAAAATAAATCGTGCAATAAAGGAATAATCCCTAAGGGTTGTAAACTAAATTTGGACTACGAAACCCTATACTGTATACCTTCTCTCTCTTCCTCTAATCTTTCACCCCCTCTAGTTGTGTCGGTTTTTATCCAATATGATAATGGGAGTGAATGGAATTAATTTTAAACTTTAGTCTCAATCATTTGTTAGTTAAAAGTCAGTGTTCCTTTCGGTCATTCATTGAAATATTCTATTTTGGTAACCCAGTGTCACACAAACATATTATTGTTAGCACAATTACTTTGACACAGATTCCATGGATGCTTGTGTTCGGACATTGTTATATACTTGCATTCTTATTATTCTGGAGCTAAATTTCGCAATTATCTAATCACTTTGTGTTCAGATATACTATTCAAATAATTCTATGTTATTGACATACATTTACTCCTAAGCCTAATTTGTAATAATATGAAACTGAATGAGCAACATTCTTGACTAAAGTCCAAGTATATCCGACTGACTAGTCCCAAATAGGATAAAATACACGTCTTGTATTCCACCACGATGAATAAAACTGAAACCACAAAATAAATAAGATTCATGCTATTCCACCGAACCTATTGTTCTTGTTGTATTCAACTATATTAAAAGAAGGAGATTTAGAATTTGGAAAAATTCATGAAAAGTATAGTTTAAATTTTCTTGACAGTTTTATTAAATATCTCGAAATTTTTAAAGCTGGTTACAAAGAAGTTTAGCATGTTCTTTTGAAGAGAAAGAAATTGCATAAACTTTCTCTTGCCTTCTTAGAAGATGCAACATTATTATGATCATTATCTTAAATTGTGAATTTCTCTACCATTTATTTCGTTAAATTGTTAGATTTGGATACCTTTTGATCTTTTTTGAAAGCATTTAGTCTAGCTAGTGTTTCAAGAAGGTTAGACTAGCTGCTTTCAAAAGATCAAAAGATAAGCAAATTAAGAAATTTTCAATTCAAAATAATAATACATTAATTTTCGCTTAAAATGGATTGAAAAAGTCAGACGTTATCCTTTCTGTAAATTTTGTTATCAGACATGTCATATGACAGTTAAATTAATCCTAAGAGACTCTGAATAATCGAAGGTTTCGCCTTCATTAGTCTCCATTTCATGTTTCTATTTCGCTATACAAAGTGAAAATGTTCAGTGAAAGAATTTTGGGCAGTACGCTTCAGAAAAATTTAGAGTATAAGCGTTTACTCGAGAAGAGTTATTTCTATATTAGACTTTTTTATATGGTGTCAGCTGAAAAAACAAATAAACCTATTCAAATGACTGATGAAAAAGGAACAAAACATGTGTCCATTAGTCATATTTAGATGCATACTCACTGCTAGTAGAACAATGAAATCAATTCACGTGTTAGTAGTTTAAAATCCAGCATAGTTTCAAGCTCTATTCTAGCTGCATGAAAGTAAGTTTTTCGACTTTTATGAAGTTAAATTCTTCAAACTGGTTAGAAATTTTCCCTGTGATTAACTATGCATGTATATTTTTATGCTTTCTAAATTTTTTTCCCATTGAAGTATTTCGTGACTCACTCTCTTATACGAAGGTAATCTCAAAAATACTGATACAATATGAAACATTTCATAGTTATATCCTCCATATTATCTTTGTGCATTAGACTTTCATTAAACTATGTTATTACGAAAGGCATCCAGTTGTTCACTAATTATACCATACTATTCCTTTTTTCTCGTAACCTGATTTTTTTATTACTTCTTCGCATTACAGATATTAAACTCTTTCATGTTCTCTTTCCTTCTCTACTATTTGTTGTTTCGAAATGATCAAATTGTTAACAATATAAATTTAAGACACATACAGGCACAATGTGTGGTTTTATGGATCTTTAAAAATTAGATAGCCTTAACTGACTAACTGATCTTATTCCATGGGGACGATTAAAAGAAGCTAAAGGAAAATAAAGATTGCGGCATAAATCAGATTAACAAGTTCTCAGTTTTACTTTAGTCACCGAGTGCTTTGTCACATTCCCATGCGATATTGAGCTATTCATTATTCATCACGCTGTCCCAGTGCGTTTATCTCAATCTATATTCAAGGTCAACGGATAAGAAGGAAAGGAAATGATTTGATTGGTAGACTGCTTCCATCAATAGATCTTTTTACTGCGCCGTTATGAACTGTGGATCAATTTCATGAATGTATTTACATCATTTAGTTATACCTAATTATTATGAGAACTGAAAAAGGAATGTTTTACTTCATTTTTGAACTATTCATAGTTCTTCTGAACGAAGTTGTTCAGAAAACGAACTCAATAGAATGTTCTAAGGGGTACTGTTGCTTAGGGAAAGTTTTCGAAGAAATTTCATATCATTAAAGCAAAAGATGAAATTTCTGTTAATAAATGTTGGTGATAGCAACTGAATGCTTCATAAATACAAATATAAGACTCTTATATAGAAGCCTAAATAACTCGTGTTCCCTGTAAGACTAAACTCTCAGCAGATAAACAAAGGGAATCACAAGAAGTTAAAGCTATCATTCCCCATTCGTTGATTTTCCATATTTCTTTGTCTAGACATCGAGATACGATAAAATGTATTTAATTTGGGTATAAATTTTTGTTTTTTCTTAATTCACTCTATCGTATTCTAAGATAAATGTCTTAGTATACTAAGACTTTTATGATACAATCTGTACAAGCAGCTTATGTAGGTAATTCATCACCATATGGAAACCAAAGTGGTGCTGTGAGTTTTTATGGCAAGTGTTGACCAACAAGCGTAGTGTATCTCTTAATATGAGTAAATTAACACTTCATCACACTACATACAATGTTAGATATATTGAAGGCGACTGAAAAGCAGTTTCCAACCCAATCATGAAGGGTTACCTGAAACCTTAAGTATATCACATTTATACAGAATCCAGCCTATATCTTCTGTCACCCCAAATGAATGGTAATCTACCTTTGGTAAATGTTAACAAGTAAACAAAGTGAATTTATCATACACTGTATATGGCATCCATACATCAAACACTGATAGAATCATAGAAGGTTGGTGCCGTTCACTACACTGGCTATAATGAGCAGTTATTTACTTCTGGCTGAAATATGTTGAGTTTTAGCGTACTTCTTTTTAGCTTAGTAGACGACCTGATTGATCGGAATATGCATTCATCCTCACTATCTGCTTTACACGCTTTCGTAGATAAAGGCATACATACGTATCCTATATATTCAATATCACATTTCAAGAAATCTTCAATAGTTGAAACGTTTTACTCAGATATCAATAGCATCATCCGGTCATTATTGACTAGGTGTTTCTCACCGTCTTCATCTGAATGTACTTGAATTAATCTATAGCTGGAAATTAAAATAGATATGCAAAATATCAAAGGAGGAAATAATCAAAGAATAACTAATTTTAAAACAATTCCCTTTATTAACTTCACTGTAAACTAAGTTTTAATTCCTTGACAATATTTAACTCAACAATGTGATCATAATTCAAACAATAAATTTTATTGAACTATTCAAATATTTCATTCTGTTTTGATTTTATTTTATTGAGTTCTGTCTCAATAAAGGTTATTATTATTTGACAAGTGGGTTTGATCACTGTCTATATCAGTTTGTCTGCTCAGTGTCAGTACTCGAGAATGTAGTTGTTTAACAAGCAATCGGTGAGTAGATGGGCGACTATTGAAATTGATTTTCTTTTGTTTTTATATTCTAAATAGGTTTATTTTAAGTGATCTTTCAGTTCAATAAAATGCTTATTACTTATGCTATTGGTAATTTTTCGTTGTTGTTGGTGTCTAACACTTGATGTTGGACATCTATTCACATTATAGAAATTCCCTTCCTATGTCTAAATCTTATAGATAATTGTTCGTTTGAGTTGCAATCACTAAAAGAGTAGCAAAATGTTGCTGGTGTACTACAATAATACTTCCTATGAAATATTTTAATGACTGTCTTCAATCTACAAAAGGTTCCCAATACTTTACAATAATCCTTTTAATTCCAAACCTTGTAAATTATAGTAAGCATGGTCATTGTCACTATCTAAATTTGTAGACTGAAGAAAAACATACCAGTAGACAGTTCATCCCTCCACCATTCATGGAAAAAAGAGAAAATGATGTGTATCAGTGATATCTACTCTGTCTTTTTTTTCCTATGTTGGTACATATCCGCTCTTTACTTGACTTAGATTACACAGATAATATAATGCAGTCAGATGAAGATACCCATAGAATACAGCCTTTTGAATACATTAATAACAAGTAAGGAATATATGGAGTGAGGTTCTCATATATCCAATGCAACTTGTTGCTTCAGCAGACTTCTGTGTTGATACTTCATCCAATATTAGGGAGGAAAATGGTTGATCTAGGTGATCACTCTACCTACCTAGGAAGTACAATGAATCTCAGTGAGCCAATGGCCAAAGAAAACTCAGCATGCATGCAAAGCTTTCAATTAGCATTTGTAGACTATTATCACTTATGGGGCTGATAAAATATCTTTTGGTATCTCAACGATAGAGTACACCGCAAAGCACAATAGTCTGTCGTGCTCTTCAGCTGTAAAATAAGACTATTAAAGCGGAATTACTTAGGAATGCTGCAGGTATTTGACTACCATTACTTCTGTAACACCACCATTGTAACGAGAAACCATCATATTAGTCACTTAGAAATTGGACGAAAGATGCCAGTCAGCTGACGAGATTAGAGACAATCATTGGTTAAATGGATCAAACATATACATGTATGCTAAACCACCATCTACCGTTATGTCCCATCTTGGTTGAATAAGTGGTGTTAGAAAAAATCTATGGATAGTCGCCGTTCCACAAAGTCTGTACCTATTGGTGTGAACCGTGAGATGGAGTCGGAACTTCAAAGATGGCTTCTTCAGTGCAGGTGGAATCAGCATTTCGAGACTATGGGTGATATGCCTCTGAATTGACATCACTGACAAAAACGCTACCATTTCTTATCGTCATCTTGACTAATATACCACATTTTCGTCAATCCTCTTGTTTTTCAATTTGGAAGTTTGTGGAGATTCGTTGACTGATTTCAGATTGGTATTCATCATGGACTGACGTCAGTTGGAAAAACATTGGAAAACCTAAAGCATTGGATAGCTGTTTTATCCTAATGTGAGACTCCTCAACAGCACGCACCAATCACCACGCTAAGGATCAAACCCATGAATTCAGGCTCCGCAGCTGGCGCGTTACCACTGAGCTACTGGGATGAAATCAAGTAGTCTATATAACCTGTCTCTGCCAGTTCACGATGTAGCACGACCTTCATTCCATGCTATTGTTGATTGTCTGTCTTCATATCTGTTTTGATTAGCCCCACCGCACCCACTTTTGTTTTTATAGCTTTTTATGACCTCTAGTTATATTATTTTTACTTCTTAAACTTTTCTTTTGTTGCCTTATATGCTGATTTTTTCATGTGAAGTGTGGCAACTTGAGGCGTTATGCAGCAATACCACGCCTCGAAGTGATACTCTTTAGCTGATTGAAAGAAAGAATAACAAAAATGCGTTGTTATTCTTAACAATATTGGCTGGCAGTCTTTTCTTGACAAATGACGAGTTCAAGATACAATTTCTTGCTTTTACTTCACGTTCCTGAATTTTGAACAGCAAAGCGAGAAGAAAGTAGGAAAGGAAATGGAAAGTAGGAGATCAGAAACGTCAAAGTATAGCCGTCAAATGAAATAATGATAGAATAGCTCTCATTGAGGAAAGCGATTTCAACAGTAGGCAAATTTGACAAACATGCTGGTGATAAGAAACCCGCCCGTGATCAGCAAGTTAACTTTGATACTAACATGGCCATTGAAGGTGGAAGACATGAGAAGGCTGGCTTCAGGTGTTTGACCACTGTTGCCTTCGTAGTATGGACCGTACTCAGTGGAATCACCATGTGAGTAAAGCAGAAATCAGGTGTAGAGTTTTAAGGAGAAGTAAATCAGTTGACGAGGTTATGAACCTTCATCGAATGAGATGGTTGGGACATGTGTTACGTATTACTTATGCCTAGTTGCCGTCTGCCTCGTCACACAGTGTTGGCCGAAGTAGGTTTTAGCGATGTGGAGCGATGCAGATTAGCAGGTTTAGGTCCACGGACAAGAGGAATCAGCGGTTGGAGACTCTAGGTGACATGGTTCAGAACCGATGTCAGTGGCGCAGATGTCTACACACATTATCTTCACCTTAACGCTACACCGAATCTCACCATTTTCTCATTCTTCCTATCTCTCTTTTCGTACTTTATATTTCCCTTGACTGAATTCTATTTTCATCTTCCACTTCACTGCCTCTTTACTTGATGTACTGATATGAGCTGTGGCAACTCGAATCGTTACGCAGTAATGCCTGGTCTTTTGTTGATAGATGATGATGATAACCTTCATATGATTGTGATACTTATAAAAATCAAATGTGAAATTATATGATCGCTTAAAATTGACTAATGAGACGGTACCGAATTCTCTCCATCAAGTCTACAATGTGATCAATGGGCTGTTGGACCTCAGTTCAAAGGCACTGTATTTGAATTTAAATAACAAAAAGCAGTCGACAGGAAACCGTACTTGGCACAACCTTCACTTTCATGAGTAGTACGTATCTCGAACTTCAAAAGAAATTCAAATTCCTTTTAGAAACTAAAACCCCACTTACTTGTAGCTGCATCCATAAACATTTCCATATAGTTGTGTGATGGTAAACAGTGTAACTCATAGCCAACCAACTGCAGTTTTCGCCATTTACCTTTCGATATAACCAATTCATCGTATTTCATTCTGCGTATCGACTAATAATGTTTTAACTGAGTTCTGTTTTCGTGTCACAACGAGTTACAAGACTATATTTTATCGAAATGAATCCAAAGTTATCCTGCTATGAATTCGCTTAAAATCATCAAGAAAAGCTGGCGTTAAAGAATAAAATTTATCGGAAGTTCCTACGAAATATTCTACTGAGAAACATGATTAGTCAGAAGCCATATACTTTGATCTGCAGATCTTACTAGACATATTAGAGTGGTCTGGACATCAGACAGCCAGTTTTCACTTTCAGAAATGAAGTTATATCTGGCGCAATCGAGTAAATTCAAATAAAACAGAAGAGGAAGATTTATTCAGACCAACTGAATCTGTCTGCTTAATTCAGGTGAAATGGGTCATTCATTTAGAAGCTATATAGTTCACGTTGGCTTCTCTTACAGTTGTATACAATTTAGCTGCTCAGTGTCAATGTCACAGCCTTTCCATAGGAAAACCAACAAACTTAGATGTGAAGAAGGTCAGATTTACATTTTCAGGTTCAGTAGTTTTGTTGCATAAAACATTAGAGAAAGTGCAAGTGTTTAGATGGTAATGTATGATTCAGAATATGAATCTAGTTGGTTTTCTTCGGTATATGTCTATTGCATGGTCACCTCATGTCAACTGATATGGCTTTCAGGTATTTGGTTCAGATCTCAATCAATCGACCGAATTTGAAAGCTTTAACTAACTATCTTTTCGATATTATATTCCTTTCTATTTCCGAAAACACTTTTTTTACTAAAGACCGATAATGATATAATTTGCTTTCAAATTGGGTAGTCTCTCTAACCAGAAAACTGATTCATCTGACAGGTTTCACAAGTGAGTAATATGTTTGATTTCTAGCAGCCATCTCCCTCCATTATAATAGTTACAGTTGGTATGTTTTATTATGTTGCATCATCATGTTATCTAGTATTAAGATATTCAACTAAAATCAGTCAAGATTTTTTAGTTGGGCCTATCCTAAAGGATGGTTAAATCCTGTCTTCTTTTACACAATATAATCTTAGGGCTGTTTTAATGCGTTAAGTAGAATCATTTAAGAATTCCCGTGAAACCTATCTCAAATATGACTTACATTGTTAGCCTTGGCTAGTTCATAAATTCCCACGCATCTCCCTCATCAATCATCACATTCTACGCAACATATTTATTTGATGGTTACTGGATTTGAAATTCATACTCACTCTTCATCCCAAGTAAAAATCGTCAACCTTGTTTACCTGCATGTATTACCATGTTATCACGGAGACTCAAAAACGCCACTCATCATTTCAAACACCTCAGAGCTATTTGCTATACCACAGAGTCACTACATTCATCTTCATGTAAAGTACACCACTTTTATCTCCGCATAATTTTTATTTCTCACTCCTTGTTTTACTGGATCTAACTGACTAGCTTCTGGTAATTTATGGCTTCCTTAAACGGGTTTCTTGATACTTAGTATGTTCGGATTTTTGGTCAACAAAATCAAACTGAGATTTTATTATTTTAATTATCTAAGATAGCTGTGGTCTGAAAGACTAATACTGATGCTGAGTGATGATTGAAGGTGAGTTGAAAATTTGGGCCGTGACGGGGTTCAGACCACCAATCACCAAGTTTCCGGCCCGGTTCTCTACAAACTGAGCTAAGAAACCCGACTGCTGACCATATTTTTGTTCCATT